GTTCACAATTGCGTTTAACGCTTCTTGTTTAAGACCAGTATGTAATGTGTTTTTTCGTACGTTCATTGCCGAAAAGCCCCTTGCATTACTCCCGGACAGAGAAAACGTCAATTCTACCATGCACAGTATGTTGCTGCATTTCTAGATTAGAGGGTCATTTTAGAAGTGAGGGGCTAGATTGTTGTCAGATAAAAAAATGTTTAGATGTATCACGAACATTAATGGGAAAATGGTTGTCCGCGCGGACGTCGGTTTCAAAAATTCGTTGTCCACGGGGAATTTTTGACCGCCAAGGACGGGCGGTTTTTCAAGCCCTGATGTATATATATATACATACATACACAATTATTCTAAAATTAAAAAATTTGAACAGGCAATAGAAATTGTAGTTGCAAATTTTTATAATGACAAAAAAAGAAGAAAAAAGAGAAAGAGACAATGTTCTTTTAACTTTTTTGCACATAACTTAATGTAAGCACTAATTTATTAATACATATGATGCAATATTACTATATGACAGCTAAAATAATGTGTTAATGTTATGAAATATTAAGATACAAAAACTTTCTCTAAGTTGGGAGTTTTGAATGCAATCGCATAAGTGTCAGTGGAGTGCAAAATTCAGTGTTAAACTATGCAAATATTCTAAATTATGCAATTCTTAATACGAGTAAAAAGAGAGCACAAAACAGAATATATTCATAAATATCTATACACTTGTAAGTAGATTATTTTAACTTTATCTCAAAAATATTAATCAAAGTCATAATTTTGCTCTTAAGTTTTGAAATCTAGTATTCTTATGTTTGTAAAATCTGTTACATTGTCATTTTTTTTTTCTTTTCATTTTTATTATTACCTGAAATTGACAAAAGAGTAACTAAATATGTAATAACATAACCAAATGAATCAAACACTTTCAATGCATTTTAGTAAGGACAGTAATAATTACAAAACAATATTTTTTGCCAAATAAATGAAAAAATATTTAATTTCTTTAATTTAATTATCATATAAAAGTAAGCAATCACAATATGTACAAATCAAAAACTTTTTACTAGTTCGCAATTTCTTAGAAGAAAATTAGAGGACAATAATAACATTCTATAAAGTCACCCGCAGATTTTTTAAGGTGAAATTAAGCTTATTGATCCTTAAATTTAAGGACAAATTTTTCAAAGAATATGGACGATGCATATTACAGTCATACTGTATCAGAATATGCTTCGATAACTTTTTCCTAATATAGTAAATTACTTAGAAAATTCAGAAGTGTGTATTGGGGATAAAAGATAGTAATAACATTTTACGTATACTTGATTTATTTAAAAATATATTTTAAATACAAAATGTGCCTCATGCATATTTTTTTTTTTAACTCCTTGTGAGTATTTTAAGCAAAACATACCATTAAATAATGAAAATATATATATTTTAATGAGAAATATTGCTTAAGGACACAAAAGTTAACAAATAACCAATTTGCTATTCAAACTAATTTGAATGAACTTTAAAAAAAACAGTAAATTTAAAATATTAAGATTTATTCATGACAGGGTTCAAGGAACATGCCATCTCTTGTGTTTTTTGTTTTTAGTCATGTGTCCCATATTTAAAGCAATTGCTCAATTTGTGCAAATTTTCTGATAAATTCATATTTTTTTAAATGTTTATTATAGTTATTTCTTATAGTATTACAACATGGTCTTGAACCCTGTGGCAGAATTTTTTCGAGCTCTCTGCGACAAAACTGTCTAGCATTAATATCTTTCTGCAAGATACTTTTAATAATAACAAGCATACATGCTAATTTAATTAATAACTAATAATTAACTATTAATAATTACCAACTTAATAAGTAATTAACAAAAATGCTGTGTTTGCAAAATAACTATAAATTTTTTTTCAATTGAACATGTAATATTTTTTTATTCGAATAATATGGGTGATATTCTCGCATTTTGTAAATAATCATCACAATAAAATTTTTTTTAAAAATCATGAAACCCGTGTTGTCGAAAAAAAAAAAAGATTGACGACGAAATCACGCGAATTCGATTCTTCAAAAAGTGGTTACTCAAATGCATAAATAATTGTAATATCGTATAAATAATATCGGATTTAAAAACTATGGAGAAATCAATAGCAATAACTACCAAAAATTCTATAGAATCATTGCCTTAAAAAGTAAGTACTCAAAAGCACGATTAAAATTTTTCATACTGTTTGAAATATATCGAGAAATTTAAAAACCACATGAAAATCAATATCAATAAACTGCCGAAAATACAATCGAAACCCCTGTGGCAGAATTTTTTCTGACTTTCTGCGACAAACCTAACTAGAACCAATATCTTTCTGCAAGATATTTTTATCATTATAAATAAATGTGTAATGAATTTATAATAATAGATGAAATTCGTGTTTATAAAATAAGTCTACATGCATAGAATAAAACTGTGTAGATTTTTTTTTCTTAATTTCATAATATAAGTTTTTATTTCTTAATAAGTTTAAATTGTTTAAGTATAAATTTGCATAATCTGCGATAATAATGAAAAGTTATAAATGTATAGATCTGCAGACAAAAATGCTTACTAGAGCATAAATAAAGATTACCCAGAACCTGTAATAAGATAGAACTTATAGAAATAGCTAAGAATGGACAAAAAGATTAAATTTATAAAACAAGATAACTGAATTTGAAGTATCAGTTTAAAACAGTATCAAAATTAAATTATTAAATCAGTTTAAAACAGTATGATTTAATGTTTCATTATAGTAGTTATATCAGGTACAGAAACAAATCAGGTGAAAAAATTAATATTGAAGTTGAGTAATCAAAATAATAAAATAGAATTGACTATAACCGAATTCTAAAAGCAAAAAAATTAAAGCAATGTTTGTTTCAATTTTTTCTACATCTAATTAATTTTATCTAATTAATTATAGATTAATTAGATTCGATTAATATTGTACTGACTTATTGAAAGATTTTTTTTTTAAAAAAAAGGAGGTAAATAAAACTTTCAGAACGAAAAAAAATACACAGCGCTTGTGATTTCGCACTGTTTTGTGTAAATATATAGCATTGATTCCACACGAACTATGCAGATGCGGTTTCCGATTCAATATGCTCAAGTCTATTCAACATCTCGAAACGAAATAGTCCTTATCAGTACTGAAACATCGGTATTAGAGCCATACTCATTGGATGCGATTTTTTTCGCATGCGTATGGAAACCTGGTTGAAAGTGTTTCACCAGTAAATATTTTCCACCAATCTGGTTTTCATTCGCATGCCAAAAAATCGTAGATAGTGAGATATCTTTCTCCTTCCGCGGTACGTTAGAAAAAAAATATTTAAAACAATTCTGTAAGAAAATTTTTTTGCAGAATCATTATTGCTTCTGCAGAAATTTTTTGTTTCTGTAGAAAATTTTTTTTTGTTGGTAAAACAGCTTCTGTTTCTGCAGAATTTTTTTGAGAACTTTTGTTTGTGTCAAACCAAAAATTTTTATTTCCCTAATAAAAAAAATCTTTCTGCAAGAACTCAGTCGCTTTCTGCGACAATGTCGCAGTGTTTCTGCCACGGGGATCGAAACATTACAGCGATTTACGATACTATCGGCATAAATTCAGCGCCTCAAAAAGGGATTATCTAAATGCATGATTCAAATATTACGAGTAAATAAATTACTGTAGAAAGTGAAACTAAAATTTTTTACTTTTCAAAAGAAAAAATCTTTTTGCAAGAGCTCTGTAACGTTCTGTGACAATGTCACTGTGATTTTGCCACGTGGGTCTTGAAAATTCAAATATTTTAAATAAAATATAGTTTTTCCTTATTAAAGTGCTAATATTTAAGTGAGCACTTTTTGATGAAATTGTTTTGAGACATTTTATAGTAAATCTTTATGGTTCTCAAATCTGGGAATAAAATTCCCTGTACGTATTATACACAATGTATTAAGAGGAAAGTATTGTCTCGTATTGTATGAGCTATGTTGGGCTAACTATACTAGTTTTAATTGCTAAGATTTAGAGTAAAAAAGGAACAGCTGAATATACTAAAAATAATGAAGACGAAAATAAGAAACAAAACTCCCTGCATTTTCCCTGTTAATTTTGGTGATTTTTAAATTCCCTGAATTTTCCAGGTTTTCCTTGTGGAGTGGCAACCCTGTATAAAAGCAGAAGCACTCGGGGATATTTCCGCATCGTGATCTGTCGCACCAACTACAACCTCCAAGGCATCTAAGGGGTTTTAAACTTGCAAATTTTATTAAAATCAAGTCTAGTTAAACCCTTGGAGTTGTTTCCCTTCTGCAATGTTTTTGTTTAGTTCCTCTAACATTCCAGAACTTGCCTGCAGATCCTGATGCAGAAATCTTACCAAGCACATTAAAAAGGTAATAATCTTATTTAACTTTAAATAAAGCATTTCCTTAATTCATTTTCTTTAAAATTTATCATTCACTCTCTTGCAGTAAAAAGTATATTATCATTTGAAAATAAAACATAGTAATTTGATACTGTACTGTGAAATATTACATCATTGTTCAGTTAAATTGTTATTTTAAAATTATTTCGGAATAAAGACAAATTTAATAAGCCAGAAGGGTTAAAATTTAACAGATACCTACTAATCGGTGAACATCTAGTTTTTAAAAAAAGATTAGCGCAAACTAAATATTTCAAATTTTTACCAAAGTCTCAAAATTGGCAATTAAACTTTTTACCCCCCAGCTGGATAAAGTCATGATAATAAATTAGAGTGAAGATTAAAAAAAGTTAAAGATTTGTATGTTTTTTTAACAACTAAGTATTAGTGACACCATTACACCACGCCACGGAAAATACGGAGCAGAATGAATCATAAAAATTATTGGGATGTTATTTAACTATAAAATTAGCTCACAGCTATACGTAAATGACAAAAAATAACATTTCTATACAGTATAAACACTTTAATCACATGTCAGACAGCTCATTTTTACCTTCTCGGCAATGCTTTCTGCATCGGAAGTCGAGTAATGTTCAAGATATAATTCACTATCTTTATCACATGGGATGCCAGTTGGATTCTGAACTTTAGTTTTATATTTCTTGGATTTAAGTTTACTCATTTTGACTTTAAACTCTCAAAATCAAAAGCGTAACTAAATTTTGTAATTGTCGATGCTTTTTCAACCACATCAACAAAAATACGGCATGGTTAGCGGAGTGTTTATTTTGGTGCCATTTACTAGAATCAAAACTTTTAAGAAATGTATCGTGGTTCCAGTTAAGTGAAGATTGAATGAATTACAGATGGCGCTAAACAAAATGCAATATGTAAATCTACTTAATTGCTGAAGCAAAAAATATTTGTAGAGAGCTATTTTAGAAACGGTAACTAGAAATGCAAAAGTTGTGGAAACAGCGAAACACAGAGTAGCGAATTTTTCAATGTACAGTGTTCAAAGAAGAAATGAATAAAATAAAAAAAAATAAAAAATAAGAATTAAGAAAAGTTGAGTGACTGAATGCAAACAATAAAAAGCTTTCTAAAACCGGTAGAAATATGGATGGCGTGCTTTTTCACGCTTAGGCGTAAAAATAAATCGGAAGTTGTAACGCAGAAATTTTACAACAAATTTAAACCCCCCTAGCGCTACCTGCGCTTAGCTTGTTATGATTAACCATCCCTAACTTTTGATCTATTGATCGGATTTCACGTACAAGGGATCAATCTTAATGGTTTACGAGAATGACCAAAAATAGGATAACTAATTACTGAAGACAATATTTTAAATTATTAAATCAGACACAAAAATGGATTTCCCCTTAATAAACATATGTTTATTAAGGAGAAATCCATTTGAAAGGAAAGACATATGTCTGACCTTTCGTCGGATATGGATTCCTGACCCTCAAAATTTGGGGGATAGACGCAATCTTAAAAGTATATTCTGAACAGTTTGGTCAAGAGAGGTTGAAAATTTGAACTTAATTTTGATTTTTGCACATTTCGCCATTCGTTCATCAAATCGAAATTTTTTTCACCCAATTATGAAACTCATTTATTCAAAGATATTTCCACGCAAAAAACATGTTTTCACAAATATTTTGAATTTATTATTATTTTACTGAATAATAAGGGGAAAAATTTAGAATATTAAGGCATACAAATTTTTACATTAATTTAAAAAATGTAAGTTTGAAAATTATACAATTTGAAAAGTAATGCACAATTTTAAAAGCAAAAGGCAAAATTCGAACGAAATCGATAGAATAATTCTTGAGAAATAAGATTTTACACATGTTTAGTCTGTAAAATTGTTATGTACGCACCTAATAAATTTTGATTAAATACCTTCTTTGGGTGTGAAAAGATGAAGAACCACAGGATAAAGAAATCATTTCGGAAATTTTTAAATATACTCTAGGCAATTGAATAGCAAAAATTAGTTAATAATATCCAATATTAATGGTTTAAGGAGTAGATCTTAAAAATGACTCAAATATAAATAAATCGAACTCAAAAACTTATTTTGCTTTTCCTCTATGAGCAGTCCCCTATATTTATGCTTTACTTTACTTTATACTTTTCATTTTAATTTACTCTATTTGCGTGGCTGATTACGCTTTACTTTCTATTATACACTTTACTTTACTTTGAACTTTAGGTTCTACTTTATATTTTACTCTTTACTTTAATTTTAACTTTAGGTTTTACTTTACACTTTGCTTTACACTTTATTTCTTCAATCTTCATGCTTTGCCTTAGTTTGCGATTTACTTTTAGTACTTTCCTTTTTACTTTACACACTTTTCATTTTATGCTTTACTTTACTTTATAATTTATGCTTCACTCTTACCTTCATTATTCAGAGGTATTATGATTATTTAATAACTGAAAACATGCAACAATATGCACTTCAAAAATAGCGATTGATTAAAGGGTGAAAATCATAAGGCTGTGGGGAAAAGAGTTTTCGACTACGTCAACCTTCATCTACTAAAAAGTACCGCACATTGGAGATTCGGACGTGATGGAGGTTGAACATGATCGGCCCGAAGATAAACATGCGAGCAATTTTTTAAATTGCGATGGACATAAAATTTTTCTTCGCAATGTGGTAGTTGGTGTTAATTGCTGCATATGACTTCGTAATTGTGAAATGAATTCGTGATTAGATGTAGTTGGCTTTGCGTTTTCGAACATCTCGCATGGCAGGCGTAACGAAAATCCATATATGAGTTCAACTGAGGAAGAATTTGAATCTTCTTATTTCCAGTAGAACTACTGGAATTATCACATATCATCGGTCATTTTCGTGAGCTCTTAGTGCTGACTTTAGATGTCTGTAGAATCGTACAACGATTTCGTTTGAAATCGGATGATACTCTTTAGTTCGTATTTTAGCCGGCCCCAATAAATCTGAAAACGCTCTGAACATCTCTGATTCGAACTGTGCTCCTCGATCGGTTCTCTTTATGGAAAGACAACCAAATCTATAAATCCATGCGTTAAAAAAGAATTACAGATGGTTTCTACTCTTTGGTCAGGAATTGGTATGGTCTCGGACCATCTTGTAAATCTGTCATCGTTGTCAAAATGTATTTGAAACTACCAGAGGGAGGTAGAGGTTCAACAATGTCCCTACGGACATGGGAAAAGCGTTCATCAGAAAGAGAAAATGTTCCAATAGATATTTTAGTGTGCTTTTGGACTTTGGAGCGTTGGCAAAGTTCGCAACACTTAACCCAGTCTTTTATTTGGTGTTTCATGAATGGCCATTCAAATCTAGATGAGATTAATTTGGTAGTGGCTAGAATAACAGGATGGGAAATATTGAGTAGGTGATCAAATACGATTTTTAGATACGACTAAGGCACAAATGGTCTTGGCTGGCCGGTTGATGTATCACATTTTACGTATCACAGATTTGAAATTTTCTCCCCCCCTAACATGTGACGTAATTTTTTAATCGCGGAGTATATAGCAAATAATTCCCTGTCATGTGCTGACAAATTGAGCTGATTTTTATTTAATTTGATGGAGTAAAAAACAATAGGTTCCCATTTATCTTGCAAAAATTGCATTAAAGCTCCACCAACTGCGACATTCGATGTATCTACCCAAACACTCATTTCAACTCCAGAATCCAACAAAAGTGTTGTCTCAAAAGTGTTGGTGTCAAAGGGTGTTTCAAAAGTGTTGTTTGAGCAATATCATATTTAGCTGCAATAAAAGAATTTTCAGCCTTTTCGTCCCATTCAATAGATTCGGAAGAATCATGAAGTTGGAACGTTTTTTTTAAAAATTTTTATGCCCTTCGAAAACCTGAACTAAAGGAGCAAGTATATGGTCGGCTCTGGGTGTAAGACATCTGTAAGAATGAAGGAATCCTAAAAATTGACGGAGTTTAGTGAGAGTAGAGGGCTTAAGAAAATCAATTTTGCATTTAACCTTATCAGTAAGGTGTTCAATCTCTTTCTCAGAAAGGTTAATACCTAAAGGATCAATTGATGATGGCAGGCCGAAAAATACATTTAGAAACGTTTATACAAAGACCATATTCTTCTGGTCAAGAGAATAAAGCCTTTAAATGTTTGAAGTGCTCATCTAGATCTTTTGATGCTATAAGAACATCCCCCACAAAAGCATAAACGCCTGTTAGGCCATGAGTTACTTCATCGATAAACCTTTGTAAAGTAGCACTAGCATTGCATCCTGAAACTCTCATACAAGCCGAAAGGGGTGCATATTGTAGTCTTGTGAACGACTCCAGGATTTATGACTGGGAATCTGATGATAGGCTTTGACAAGGTCGATTCGACTAAATATCTTGGACCCATGTAAATTTGCAGTCAAATCAGCTTTGCAAGGAGTTAGAGGTTTGTCTTTAGCTGTTTGTACATTCAAAGCAATGTAATCACCAACAGGTCTCCATTCAAACGATCCTTTTTTGGGTACCATATGAAGAGGTGAAGCATAGTTGTTACTAGATGGTCTTATATGCTCTAACTGCATCATGTTTTCAAATTCAGATTTCGCAATTTTTAACCTATCAAGAGCTTACCTACTTTGCTTTGCCACTACCGGAGATTTTTCAGTTATTATGTACAGTATTATGTTTGACAGATTTATTGGGATCGGGTAATTTTGTTATAGTTGGATATTCTTTTAGGAGATTAAGATATTTATTATCTTTAGAAATCGTTTTAACTGTATGCAGTTTCGTTTGCTTTAAATGATCAAGAGTTCTTAACTTAATTTTTAAGTCTCTAATACATTTATTTATAAGTCTCTAATACTTTTCCTATGCAAGCACAAGGTTGAACACATTTTTCGGGCTTACATTTTTTCCCCATAACGCTGATGGTACCTGCAAAGTACTGAATTTCGATGCCGAGAATTTGACCGAGATCTATAGCGGGGATTATTGCCGTTTTTTTGAAAAAGGTGATCTACCTCGAAATGAAAGGCGATCGATCCTTTATTAAAATTCATCCAAAATTAAAAGATTTTTTGTAGCTCAGAACTACATTCCTTGACCTAATTTTTTTTCTCATATTGTAAATTATATTTTTCAATATAAAAAAAAAATGAAGAGGATGCTTTTCGTTTTTAGAAAATAAAAAAATTAAGTCATTTTTAGCCAAGATATTTCAATAATTTTTTATAGATAAAATAACGAAGCTTCATGATCTCAACAAAAACAAAAAGCACCTAGATTTCTTTTATATTAAAAAATATAATATTTAACGAATTTTATGATATAATATTTAACGAATTTTAGAAAAAAATTGACATCAAGACGTTGTTTTCGTGCTATAAAAAATCATTTAGTATTTTAATTAAAAACCGTTTAATTATTTTTTTAATGATCAAAAACGCTCTTCCGATTTCATTTATATCGAAAAATGTGGTATCTATCATTATAATTAAAAAAATTGAGTTCAACAAATTTCGTTTCTGTGCTATAAGAAAATTTTGAAGACACGCGTTACCTGACACAAATTCCACCAATTAAGCCGTTGTTGTTGAGAGTGGTGCAAGTCTATTTGGAACTAAATCATTTATTTATTTTACGATTTTAATGACCATTGTATCTTTTCCAATATTTTTAGATTCCTTCAAACATTAAAAGTCTCAAAAATTAAAAAATAGACTTATTCAATTTTAAAAACTAACGCAACAATTGCAATCGTGGCGACGAATCTGAAATTCGGTTGCTAAGCTAAGAAACGACAATTATATGAAACACAAAAACGTAATCAGTGGATTTTTTTCATATTAAATCGTTAAGATAGAAATAATTTAAACTTTGCAATAGCAAGTACTTATTTTAAGTAATTACACATAGTTTAATATGGACCGTGAATTGTTCGACATTTTTGATTTTCTGCGCGTATCGAATAGTGTTCGGAAGTAATTTTTAATACATAGGGTTTAACTTGTGAAGAATTTTATGTATTTTATTTTGTACCTTGACTTATTTTTCTTAAAGAAGTATTTTTGTAGGATTTTTTAAACTGGTGAAGAAAAAAAACCATTACGTACTTTTTAAAATCTTTATCTCTATTGCTATGGACTTTAGCATATTATTCAGAAACCTCTTCTTAACATCTGTACCAAATTGCATAACATCCTGGATTTTTTTCTTCGTTGCTATTAGTTTTATTCAGCGCATTTTTCGCAAAAGCACGTTTGCACAAATTTTTTTGGTTTTAAGAGACTTCAGGGATCATGCTAAATTGTAAAAATACGGAAATGAAACGTTAATCATCGATGTTTATAAAGTCACATATTTATATTATATTTATACGAATATTTATATTAAAGTAGGGTGCATCATTTGCGTAACAAACTTCTATCACCACCGAAAATCCCCGTTGAGTCTTTCGAAAGTGATGCATCATGCAATTTTCGTTTCAGGCCACAGAAATATTAAAATTATTTTTAGTCTCTTGAAAAGAGTAATTTTTAAAATTAGAGCTCTTCATAGTTTTTGTACATTTATTTATATTATATTTACACAAATATTTACATTTATATTAACTTAGGGTGCATCATTTGCGTAACAAACTTCTATCGCCACCGAAAATCATCGTTGCTTCTTTCAAAAGTGATGCATCACGCAATTTTCGTTTCAGGTCGTAGAAATATTAAAATTATTTTCATTTTCAGTCTCTTGAAATGAGAAATTTTTAAAATTAGAGCTTTTTCATAGTTTTCGTACATGATTTTAATAAAAAATGTCTTTTAAAATAATTGAGACACAAGAAAAAGATCTCATTTAATAGGCACTCATACTGTTTATTTTGGACATACAAATATCGTAACAAACATCGAGTTATAGACTCATAATCTTTAAACAGTGAACAACACTGTCATCCTTCTCTTCACCACAAATTTTGTTTCTGGGTGAAAAATAAAATTAAATTCATCCGAATATAGTAATCTATAAACTACAATAATATAAAATTGTAGGAAGCCCCGATTATAAAAATATGTACACTTATTCATATAAATTATTAAAATCATTATGTACAAGTTTCAATAGAAAAACCATCTTTATATATAATTAACCGTTTGAACAGTACAATTAAAGGACACTTGAAAAGACATAGCACCAATTTAATTAGAATTATAATTACTTAAATTGAAATTAGAGAAGAGTTAAAAAAAAGCGAAAATATCAAAAAATGAGAAATATTTCAGTCATTGTTTTGAACTAAATAGGAAGAGTAAATATTGTAAATGATGAGGCATAACTCAGTATTAAAAATTATTGATACATTTAGCAATGTAGTGAATTGCAACGTCGGCAGTTAATAAACATTTTTAGAATCAGTGTCTAAATGAAATAAAAAAAGTATGCACAATTGGAATCTCAAATCAATATTCAATCCAGGAAAAATAAAAATGCTTTCGAAATTTAATCCCCTTTACTGAGGAAGGTGAGACAGAAAACATCAAGACATGTTTGATTGCAGAGAAAACAGAGGATATGAAGGGCATACACCTCTAAGTTTGAACAGGCAATGAACTGGATTTGAAGTTAGTTACCCAGGCTGCATCAGTTATAACTCGACAATTTTCGGTAACTTTTTGGTTCCTTCCTCTCTAACATATTAATTTGTGCTTTTAAATGGGCTAACATCGGTTTCGACAGAGATTCTAAAAATTTATTTTTAGGGTGGCTATTACTAAACACCCTGTGCATAAAACAAGATATATGTAGAAAGAATCACTTAATTTTTCAAACGTAATTTCAGATCCATTACCTAATTTATAAAAGAAAACTTTGAATCATCATAACCACAGCAAATGGTAGTGTTTTTTACCGCTCTGATTGACATTAATTTGGTGCTGTTTTAATAGCATTTTACAAATCTAATATTTTCCCAATATTTTGCTGGTGCTAATATGCAGTGAAAAAACGAAATAAACTTATGGTAATAATACACATACAATGAAATATTGAGCATGATAAGGTTAATATATTTATAATACACTACAAAACAAGAATTTTAGATTAGTCGTCTACATATCGCATGTAGTCAAAATAAGTTTTTATATAATTGTTAGAAATATAAGGTGAAAGATTAATGTCTTTCATGGATAAGTATTTCTAATCAAACTTAGTAATATCAAATATCAGCATTTTCAAACAGTTCCGTTAAATCAAGATTTCTAAAAATATTCAAGATAAATCAAAGAATGATAAGACAAAGAAATTTTCAGATCAAACTTTTAGTCAAAACAAAACACAATATAAATTTTCTACTGTCAAAATCACATATCCATCACAGACTGCTGGTCGTCAAATACCGATTAATCGGCATCAGTTCTTTGGTAAAATTTGGAATTTCTTGAAAAAATTCCCCTTTTAAGTACACTAAAAAAAACTGTAAATTATAAAGATACGAAACGTACACTAAACTAATTTAAATACGTAAAACAAAAATTAAAAATCTGTATTTTTGGTAAAAGTATTTACAAAAGACACACTAAATAAATAATATCTTATTTACATTTTGCTTCAAATGCATTTCTTAAATAAAGTAAATATGAATGAATGCTGTTAGAACAAATAAAAAATAAATCAATTAGAAAAAAAAATCTTAATTGAATAATTTTGATTTTAAGTCCATAAAGAGAGTTTAAAAAAATTACCATGAAACAATTAGTTTTGATTATTGCATTGCTTTCGAAAAAAGTTTTTTTTAAATATACAAATAAAGTAATAGCTTGATTTTCATCCGTGTTATGTTACAGTTTGTGCAACTGGAATAGAATGTTCTTCATTATCGACTACGATGGACAGAGGGGAATCTCTAGTATCACTCTCTTCTATATTGCTACTGTACTCGCTGCTGTCCATATCTTTTGTATCACCTGAACTTGAACTCTGACCTAAGGAAGATTCGGATTCTTCCTCCAAAGGAGATGAAACATTGGTTCGTACATCATGCTCCTTTAGCATATGCTGGTTTAAAGTTTCAACGTCTTCAAACACTTCGCTGCACACTGAACAAGAATGGTCAAAATGTTTATCATGCGCAGATACCAGATGATTTTTCAAAGTTAGTGTGGAGGGAAAAGTCTCTGAACACAATTCACAAGGATAGGTAGTTGAAGTTGCATGAATTCGTATGTGTTCCTTAGCGTGGCAAGATCTCGAAAAACCTTTACCACAGTGAGGACACAAATAAGGTTTTTTACCAGAATGTGACTTTAGGTGAGCTTTGCGATTTTCTTTTCTAGCAAAGCGCATTTTGCAAATGGGACATTCATAAGGCTTAACACCAGTGTGCGTTCTCATGTGGATTGTGAGGTTTCTGGAGACGGAAAAGGCTTTGTTGCAGGTTGGGCAGGTAAATTTAGCTCCCTGTGAATGTATGCGTTGATGTCCTTGGAGATTACTTTTACAAGGGAAGACTTGATCACAATCATTACAAGGAAAGCTCTTTTTTCCATCTGTAAATTCATTGTCTGCGTGGTATTTAAAGTGATGCTGTTGAAGATCTCCTGGAGCAGCAAAAGCTTCGGGGCACAACGTGCATTTGAAATTACCACTACTCTCATGAATTTTGCAGTGACTTTGATAACTTTTTAAAGACGTAAACCTTAGATTACAGTCCTGACAGCTGAAATTAGCAATTTCCTTTGGATAATTGGGATGACAAAATGAATGGTTACTCCACTCAGCTTTGAAAAAGAATTTTTGATGACAAAGAGAACATATATAAGGTTTTGCTTCCATTCCATGTTCCAACATGTGTTGCTGAATTAAAGAAGCAGAAGAAAATGCCGCTTTACAAAGGTAGCAATCATAACTCGGACACCCTTCATAGGTATGTTCAATTAAATGACACTGAAGTTTAGCGGGGGAATCGAACACTCTTTTACACAAATGACAAACATGATCAGTTCCTTCCTCAAGAACATGAGTAGCTACGTGAACTTGAATTTCTTCTAGAGAATCGAAAGACAGTTGGCATTTAATGCACTGAAATGTATTTTGATGGCATAGTTTATGATTTTCGTACTCTAAAATGCTCTCAAACTTTACCTGACATTTTTGACAGCGAAGATCATCACTTTTAGCGAAACGAAAATCATTACCTTTGGCGTGAAAGCAATTTTTGCACATGTAAGTATGATTTTCTTGCGTTCCTGTAATGATAAGTTGCTGTATGGAACCCTTACGTCCGCACACGCAGCAGTTATACAAAAATTCTGTGGATCGCAAATGATGTTTTGCGTGTACTTGAACTTCAACGTCAGACATTAGTGTTTGGCGGCATATGATGCAGGGTGCTGGAAGTCCTTGAGGATTGTGTTGATGTGTATGGGCATGAAACTGGTCTTCTTGTTGTATTGCTGTGTGGCATACAACACACGTACTGTTTGTCACCACTTTGCAATGTTCAAGTTTATGCTCAGCCAGAGTGCCAGCTGATGGGCAGATTTCGTCACATATATTGCATTTATGTTTGCTGGGGCTCACTGTGTGAGATTTCATGTGATTTTCCAATTCTGTTCTGGACTTACATGATTCATTACAATAGGCACAAAATAGACTAAGAGTAGTTTGCCCTGGTTTCTGGGATCCCGATGTTCGAATATGGTGCACCTGGCGTTTGTGGACAATTAAGGATGATTCTACAGTGAAACTAATGTCGCACATATCACAACGTAGCTGTTTTTTGGGAGAAGATTCAAAATTGCTATCACTATCAGATTTTGAGTTAGTCTTTATACTTAAGTTTTGGACATTCTCCCTCTCTCGTGCTGTCACAGGAAGGATATTTTCTCCTGAATGTTTTTCTTGAATGTGTCGTTCTAGTAGAAATTCTACTGGAAAGAACTCTGGACAAAACAAGCAGGAGTATTTCTTGTGATACTGCATATGAACTTGAAAGAGTGATTCGGATGGAAAGCAAAGAGAACAAATGGGACAACGAAATGGGGGATATTTAGCAAAGTGAGCAATTTTAACATGCAGGCTGAATTCGTTCTGAGTTTGAAAGGCAACATTGCACGATGTGCATTTGAAAGTACGGCATTGGTCACTATGTTTCATTGAAAAGTGAATTTGAATATCAACTTTGGACTGAAACATGTCTTTGCAGAGGGAACACTGATAAAGTTGGTGAGCATGTGTGTCCATTAAATGTCGTTGTAACTGATCTGGTTTAGAGAACATTTTAGGGCAACTTTGACAGCCATATTCGGTCGAAATGGCTAAATAATGATTAGCCACGTGGTTATTAAATACTTCTTCTGAAGGGAACTGTCCATCACATTCAAAACAACTAAATTTCTGCGTCCCACATTCCAAATGAGTTTTAAGATGTGTTCTAAATGATTCAAAATCAGGTAAGGCTGCATTGCATTGGTTGCAAAGTAGTGGACCAGGGTTGGGAAAGCCACCAAACGAGCCATTGTTGAAAATTGGAAATTCAAGCATGAAAGGATTTCTTGGACTAGAGTTTTTACTTCTAGACATTTCTTTTTCAGCATGATATTTTGCAAGATTTAATTCCTTATCATGCATCACTTTCATGTGGGCGGTAAGGGATAGGTCGTCGTGGAAGAGTTTATTGCACAGCGTGCAGACGGGCTCATTACTACGCCCATTTTCTGTGATTTCCTTGGAACTGTGCACAACTATGGTATGTGTCTGAAGGGAAAAAACGCTTTCGAATTTCATGGTACAGTATTGGCAGCTAAATGTGTTTCTAGTGGGTGAACTGAAACTTCTGTTATCCGGTGAATTACCAATATTGTTTTGCGGACTAGTGGTAGAATGAATCGCTGGAGTCGAGTCTCTGCTATTGCTCCTCTTAATATGCACTTCATCAATGTGTTGCTTCAGGGCATCAGAGGACACAAATTCTTTTCCGGAACACAAAGTGCACTCAAACTCAGAATTTTCACGTCGTCTCTTTCCAGTTGCATGAAACTAAAATAAAGCGAAATGATGTTTTTAGATTTTGACATATAACATACATTAAATTTTTTACTCTTTATTTAAATGACTAATGATAGTTGAATCTAATGATAGTTAAATAAATATAAAGACGGATAACTCGATGAACAGCAAAAAATAATTTCAAAGGCAAAATAAAAAAAAAAAGTAAAATGAAATTTTAACATTATTAAAACTAAAGAATCTCTTTAGATTTCATGAGTTAATGAACTTTAAGTTTTATGAAATAATCTTCTAAAATTAATTTGTATTATACAGACTCTTATACATTTATTTACTGCATTTGTACTTGATTATTACGAGAAAATGTACGAAAAAAAATAAAGAATTTAAAACTTATGCATAATGAGTTAAATATCCACTCTTTTTACAAGACAAATATAGGATAAATATAATATTTGTAACAATGCGTAATGACAATCATATAAAAAGAAATAATTTTCTCCGTTTCCTTGTTGAAGTAAATAGAAATTAAAAATTTTTTAACAATTTTTCGGAGTGGGGTCATTAATGAATTGTTAATAAAGTTAATGTCAGATCGGAATTGCAGGCATTCAGTTCATAAGTTTAAAAAGGGTTTTCTTCTGATTCTAGATGGTGCTTAAAAAATGTGTTCAAGATCGCCCCTAACTAATTTCTTAATAATTTTTGTCTCTACCATATATAAAATAGTTTCTCTTATCATCTTCGTTTACAGTTTAATTAGATTATTGTCACAGATAGGGGTGGCACAATTCATTTGCGAACACATTCAAAAATTGTGTTTTACTTAAAAAGAGAGCGCATACATGAAATATGCACATGTTGAAAGAAAAAAATAACTCAAAATGTTACTTGGTGTTGGTATTAGCAAACTGTGCAACGCAACAATCACAAATTCAGGTTGAATATGTGGGCATAATTTATTTTGATTTAAAGTATTGGAAATATAACCTAAAAAGCCTTCCTAACCAATAAATTATACTAATTGATAAAATACAAATTGTAAAGTTTGCTCAGAACAACAGAATTCTTCATAAGAATTATAAAAATTGCGGACATAAAGAATTATAAGAATTACAAGCATAAATAATTATAAGATTCATAAGAGTTAAGATCAAAGCCTTCCTAACCTATAAATTACAAAAATTGATAAGATGCAAATTGTAAAGCTCACACATAACAAAAGAGTTGTTCATAGGAATAGCTTTTTCAACACTTTTCATAAGAATAGCTTTTGCAACATTGACACTTCATTGTGCCCATTTGCATACATGCAAGCCTAAGTTTGAATTAGATTTTTTCTGCTGTCCTCGATAATTTAACATTGAAAACTACTTCGCACATCTGCGAAGGTGCTTGTCTTGCTGAGGAAAAAGAATTTATCACCAGTCAGTGTTAGTTTAAAAGATAAAGATATTGCTGTTCGTTATTTTGACGCCTACTGTTATTTTGGCATGAGAGATAATTGATTTGGTATTTATTATTGCAGTTTGAATCTTCAGTCGTTTCATTTCTTACACTTCAAGTTTCATTTGATTTTTGGATGATTTTGTGTTTATTATTGCTTTTATTCATACATTATTATACATTTGCGTTGGGTATCAGTGAATTTATAATATCGTACACGCAGTTTTGCAGGTATGCAAAGTGACATAAAATAATCCCCTCTCAAAAGATTGCAACTGATTTTTTTCCCTGCATTTCTTGACAAATCCTGCATATGAAAATAACTATTATTTTTCACTTAAAGTTTGGAGTGAAGGGTTAAATTTTAATTTCGGGTATCGTGTGGAACTTTCCACACCATTATTCCTATATCTCCCCAGCTAGTCACAGCTTCTGAATTAGTCAGTTGTAAAACTGCAACGCTTGGTACAGCTTCATTATTAAAGATTTAAATAAGCATAAAATTATTATATCTATTTTTAATGTTTGCAAGCACACACAAAGAAATATTTCTTTACCTCTTTATGGACAAGGAATTCCGAATAGTTGTTGAAAGTTTCTTCACATTCTGGACATGAAGTGTGGAATTCTGAAGCATGCTTTTCTTCCAAGTGAGTCACTAGAATCTCTTGGCTTGTAAAGACGTCAGAGCAGTAATTGCAGTTATGTTTTCGTTCATTAGACTGCGCAGTTTCATGAATTGTCACATGTGTCTGAAAGAAAATATTGAATTGAAGAAAATATTGAATACAATTGAATTTAACAATAAATATCATAAAGAATAAGAATTCATTGGATAAAATAATAAGTAGGCATTTAAATTTGATGCACAGTAAGGAAATAGATTGCTGCAATAATAATAATAATAATAAAATTAAAAGAAATTCTAGATATTAATATTGGATTTGTTTTCGGATTTTATTGTTTTTTTTATTTTATATAAATACGTTAAAAAAATGCAAATGCTTTGAATTTGACATAATTTTATGATGTTTTTTAATCAGAAATAAATTTTCATCGTAATTATTGATCTCTCGGTATAACATTTGTATAATAAATTTTAGCATTAAAAAAGTAAATCAGTTTTTACGTGAAAAGTAAAAGGGTTGTCCCAATTTCTTTTTTGAAAAGCAAATAAATTTTTAATTACATTTTCCTTTTTAAAAAAAAATTGCAGTGATATATAAAAATTATCCTAAATTTAAAATACTGATTATATTAATAAAATAAATTTGTTAAGGTGAAATTGCACTAACTGTAAAGAAGCTTAGAAATTTATTGTCGATTATGTGATAAAGGTAGGTTTTAGTTCCAAAATATTTGTATAGATGGCGCTGTGTATTCTCTAACGGGGCTCTACGCCACTTTCTTGCTAGCGCAACGCCCCCAACAAGTAATTGTTTTTTACTCCAAAGCTTATTGCTTTTAGGAAAAGGTTAGCGTTACTCTTTCCTTTTTTAAATGTAATTTAAATTATTTTAAGACGTAGTATAATTTTTTTAAAAATATTATCTAGTTTAGAAATTATCTGAACCATATTACAAGAGAGAAAATGCACACTATTTTAATATTTTATTGTTAAAAGATATTCCATGTTAATGTAGAATGAAGCTAAAGCATGGTCATCATTATCATGCTCTAGAGTCTATAGGTACAAAAATAGAGCTGAAATGTAATGCCATTGACCTGGAATAACATGTTAATTTGCAACATGTAATTACTTGCTTAATTAACAATATAAAGGCTTCAAAACAAGTTGAAATATTATATATTACGGTATAACTGTGCGGTATTACGGTATAACTGTTATGGTATAACAGTGACATTCTTAAACATTGTTCTCTTAGCAAATTTTTTAGTTTCGGAAACAAGAAAAAAGAGCGTGGGTTTCATTTTCGAGCTTTCAGCTTCAATTAGTTTTAAGGATGTCGAAGACTTTAAGAGAAAAACTAGATCAGAATTGAAGAGCATTTAGAAGGAGGACTTTCTGAAACATTCACAGTGAAATACAGAAGTGCATTACATTACGCCAGACCTCTTAACATATTAAATGGGCATGAAATTCACACAATATTTTCAGGAGTTCTTAAATCAAACACATAAATCAACAGCCTCACTTCGTAATAAACAGTAGTAATATGGGAAAAACCAAAGGCTGTTTACAGAAACACATGTATTCAAACATTGATAAAATAAAGGATGTTGGTGATTGTTACTTACAGTAGTCAGATAATAGAATCTGCAAGATTTTGCTTAGAAATCATAATAGTATGAAAACATACTTGAACAGATAACCACTATCAGTGAACAATACTTGATCAAATAAAAGAATCTGAAAGGTATGGTGTTGATTATGTTTCTCACAATGTATTGCGTTGTGTGGTTGATGGTTGCATGGTACAGATTCGATTCAACCATTGTTAAGTAATTTTTTTTTTATTGTTAAATATATTTCATTTTATAGAGCGTGTTTGTAATATCTAATGCAACTCACTCAAACGAAAATTCACTCATTAATATAGATTAAACAAATACGTATTCACGAAAGAAAAGAAAATACCCCCGAGATTCATTGTATTTTACATATGGCTTACAGAAGCATAACAAATTTCAAATATGCAAGCATAGACCAATAGAGGATGAGCATTTACTTCAAATAAGAAAATTTGCCTTTTTGCTTGTTTTCTATTTTTTTCAAAGGGTATATTTCACTCACCTGAAGCTCTTTGGCTGAAGGAAAGGATGCCGAGCACTGCAGACAACGATAGCCTCCATAGTTGGAAGATGGACTGGATGGATTTGTGAGATCCTTCTTATGGTTCTGCATGTGAGATGTGAGAGCAGCTGCTGTGTTGTATCCTCTGTTGCAAACAGTGCATTGATATGGTTTGGCATTATCGTGCGTCTTCATGTGGATTTTGAGATGATCACTGCGAGAGAATGCTGCTTCGCACTGATTGCAGCGATACTTGCGATCTCCTGTGTGCAGCTTGACGTGGCGATCTCTACTGCGCTTGTGCTTAAAAAGACGTTTACAGTAGTCGCACATAAATGGTAATTGATCGCTATGTACCTATAAAGAAAAAATGAACCTATAAACAACATACATTCGAAAATATTTTCCAACATGTTAAGGAAAAAAATATATTTCAGTTCGACGTTTCAACACGCTGCAGATTCTTATAAAACAAAAAGTGATACTTGAGTAAATCATGTATCACCGCAGTTGGACAATCAATTCTCATAAAGGTTTAACAGTTTTTGATATTTAATTTCTTAATATTGTATTGTTATATTACGTAATATGTTGTAATATTGTATTATATTGTATTGTATTATATTGTATTGCATTATATTGTATTGCATTATATTGTATTGTATTATATTGTATTGCATTATATTGTATTGTATTATATTGTTTTCTATTATATTGTATTGTATTATATTGTAATCTGTATTGTACTGGTTAAAAGCGAGAAAATAAAACAAGATAACTCTTGGTATGCATTTTGGCAAATTCATTTTTGTGAAGGATTATCTTTCTATAACTTATTAGAATAACTAATCAGTAATTGCATCTATCTTGGAAACTAATCTGTAATTGCATCGATCTATATCTATCTGGGAAACTAATCTGTAATCGCATCTGTTGAAAAGAAAACTTAGAGATAAATGTCAGTTGGAGCGTTTTCGAACTCTAGATCTGACTAATATTCGGAATAAAAATTCAATATTGTGGAATATAAAGATTCGTAAACCATGGCCGTGGTTGGAATCTCGCTTATGCAGACAAGCTATATTTTCCCCTGACCATTACGGTTTTAGATCTACATTATGGAAGGCTCTTTTATTTTTCTAAAATACAACTCAAACACAATGATAATTATTAAATTTAACTTATTTAAATAATATATAACAAAACAAGATAACAAAACAAAATTTCATCTTATCTTATAACAAAATTTATAATAAATTATTAGCTTTGTTGCATGTTACAATGCCAACATATTCAAAATTTGAATCCAAAACATGGATGAAAAATTATTTATCTAGTATTGTTCTCGACTAAATTTTCATTCGGGACATTTTAAATATCCAATTTAAACATTAAAATCTTTTCATGAAGGTGTCTTTTTAGAAAATCATCACCCATGCATGCTAATAAATGCAAAACAATTTATAATTAATAACTTCAATTCAAATTTACCTCTCAGATAAAAATGAAATCGAAAAATAATATTCTAATTAAAGCAATTTAATGGATTTAAGATAAGCTTCAGAACTATTCTTCAGAACTTTTTTTACTGACATTTATTTAACTTGTTCCATTATAAATTTTAAACTCGCTAAACTATTCTGGAAACGCTAATGAAACAGCAACAATAGATCAGTAAAAGAAACGAATTCTTAAAATAGTCTTAAACCAGTTTGAGTATGAAGCTTAACGGCGATTAAAGCGAAAGACGAATTCACTCTACAAACTACTCACTAGACAAAATTTTTTAAAAAAAAGATTTTGATTTTCTTTATTTATTTGCCAATCTAAATAATAATGGACAAGTTTGAAATTTTTTTTCCAGTTTTTCTTAATTTTTTTTATTTTATTTTATTTTATTTATTTATTATTTTTTTTTTATGAAAAAATATTATTTAATAAACCCTTAATGTTCATAGTTTTACTTCATTATGAACAAGAATTCCAAAAATATGAACTTAAGGTGGTAATTACGGAACACCTTGTATATTCTTAAGCATTTTCCTTAATAATATACAGTTACTAGAATTCGACGCAATTTTATTCAGGAAATATTATTTATTATTTTGTATTCAGGAAACTGAAGACAAAATAATTTAACAAGAAACTTAATTATTTTTTTTTACACCTTTCATTCCCCTGCATATTTAATTATTATTTATTTTAATTAGAAAGTATGACAGGATGATTTATCGAAAAACAAGGCAAAAAACACACATTCTTTTAATTAAATAACGCTCGAAAAATTTAAGGAACTTTCGTACAATTGTGAGGAATTAAGAGCTGTGTTTATTGTTTATGTTGAGAATAAAAAAATATATATATTGCAAAAACGAAGAAAAAAAAATCAAAATTTATAAAGCATAATCCTAAGAATAATGTTATTATATATTACAACCAGTTAAATGAATAAAATATGAATATAATTCAGCGAAATTTTTTTAATAAAAGAATAAGGTTTACATATTTATAGCTCATATTTCGATGGTTGGAGCAAAAAAATTAGGTTACCAAATAAACATGACAACTTAATTCACAGGTGACGAAAAATTACCCAACTTATTTCGAAATTCATTCGATATAAATGGAATTATTAATTTGATTTCTAAACACAGAAGTCATTAACGTTATCCATCATTTATTAAGTGTCACACTTGAACGGCGTTAATTAAGATGTACTCATGTTTAATTACCAGTTTTTATATGAAAAGGAGTAATTTATGGCCATACATATATGAGTTAAATATTAAATGGTTTGAAAATTAGGATTAGAGGTCATATAGGTTTTTTCGTTCTTTTGCGACATCAACTTAAATTTGAGGAGTTCGTAAAGAAAGTTTGTAAAACTAAATATGTTTAATAATTTCTGTAATGCAACTTAATTTTTAAAAAATAAAACTGTTTAGATACTCGTTGACATAATTAAATTGAAATTTAAGATTTCTTTGTGTATGTTTTGTGGAAAATAAAGTTTTGTAAAAAAAATATCACTTATTTAACTATCGATTTTTATGATTTTTTTTTATCTTATAAAATTAATATTCTTTTTTCTAATGATTCTACGATAATTACTTCCGTACTTTAATTTTTTAGTGCTTTTATATTGCAAAATTGCCTTTTATATTGCAAAAGCAAATGATAGTTCAATTATGTATTTACTTCTCTATATAAACATCATACTTATATATTACTGAAAAGTATAATAAAGTTTACTTGGAATTTTTTTCTTTTTTTTTTGTTTAGTGCTTAGACAGCCAGCAAGTTTCAGGGTTAACCTGATTCTTTATTGTAGAAATATTTGTATAATAATATATTTGTCTTTAGGCTGGCACAAGCACTGTTTTAAGTTTGTTCAAAAAATTTACATCGTATCTTTACGATACTTTTTTCTGGGATATTTAGGGGACAATAGGATTTATTTAACAAGTGCTAATAATATTTTTCAATGTTAATAATAATAATTTCTAAAACCCAACACATGGCGCTCTGCGTAAAGGAGTAATTTTAATCAGTTTCCTCTATGGCACTGTATCATGAATATCTTTAAAACCTCGAGATCATCGTATTTAACAGGATTAATGTTTGCTAGTTTATGATAAATATTTGATGTAATTTTCTTGGCTTTTATAAAATTCATACAAATCATACAATATTAAAAAAAAAAACAAAAAAAAACATGAGTTATTTTTCAAATAATTTCAACATATTAAAGACGAAAGATGAACTAGAAATAAAAATACTCGATTCGAAACTGAAATTCGAAGCGAAGTTTTGAGTTTAATAAAAAAAAATTCTCAAAATAAGAATTAAAAATTTTAATATTACTTCCTAAAATATAATCTTGTAGTTTTAAATTTTATAAATTTCCCCAGCAAGTCTCTTTTTATTAAAAACTGGCAATTTTTTTGATAATTTTACGCAATTGAATTACAATTTTGTGATCCTTAAACTAATAAAAGAAATTCGTGAAATGATAAAACTGACTTCCACCATAAAAAAAATATTATTTCCCTTAAAATTCCAATACGCACTCAAAATTCAATTTATGGTATTTATGAAATTTGAAAATAAGTTTTTATACGCTATAACAAAAAGAATGATTACCAGGAAAATAATTGAAACTAAAATCAAACACAAAAATAAAAAAAAAGAATGCCTCTCGAAATTAGTTCCTTTTCAACTCATTTATTCCCAAAACCAAGATGAAAGGTGGTATTTCATCATTTTTCTTCCTTATGTTATGAAAAAGCAATTTTATTTATTACTGCGAGGAAAAGGAGCCAGGCGGCGTGAATAAAATTTGACATCCGTATAATTAATCATGGTGGAATATTTTTCAAAATTTATTAAGCAAAATTGTCATTGATGAAACGAGGAAAGCAAGTTATTAATTTTCACATTTTTTTCCCTCAAAAGAAACTTTGAGCTCTGAGTATAACGTAAATTTAGTCATAATAATTCATAAATGATAGAGAGAAACTTATACGGAGTAGAGGGAATAGACATGAATCAAAATTAAAAACTGAGGTATAATTCTTGCCAAATTTGAAATAAATTTAATAAACTGTATTTCAGTTTTGTGTATTATGTTTAGATAAAACATTCTAAGTGATAGTAATATAATTAAAAATTACTAGTAAACATAGGAACACAACACAATTCTTCATTATTTTATTTTACCTCTAATTTTGTGTTAATGTTAACTGATGCAAACGTTTAAAAAAAAACTAATTCGCAATTTGAAATTCAATTAAAAGGTTTACTATCTTTGTACTCTTGTGTAAAATTTGATGAAAATATTAGTATTTCTAAAACATGTTAAGGTTTTTTTTCTATAAAATTAAACGTCGTTAATTCAATATTTTGTTTCGTTTGTTTAAAAAATATTAACAAACAAATAGAATTTAAGGTTGTTAGGGAGCAGGGAAATAAGTTTCTATAGAATTGTAAAAATGCAAGAGTAAATTGTCTTTCATAGAGAATAAGACAGTAAAAAAGATCAACAAAGTAAATTTTTATAAAAGTCAAATATTAATTTTTCTCTTGAATAGTACATATTTGCTCAAAAATTTGTTTACAATTTGTGATTATTCTTTAAATCAAGTTTAGTAATGACTTGAAAAAAAATCGAAATTCAAATGCTTTATCTCACTTGTTGACTTTATGGAGACTATAAAATTATATTTTTGGTACATAATTTATAAATTTGCTGTATGTAAAACGAGTTTTTTTTGTTTAATAAATTTTTCGAAAGAAATTTTTGATTTAAAGCGGTTTCTTTGAAAAAAATTTCCATTTGAATCTCTAGTTTTATTCTT